TATATATATATATATATATATATATATATAATGTGTATAATAATATAAAAAATAATAATATCATTTTCTCGACGTAGATAGCATTTCTTCACTATTTCCATTTTCTGTTCTTAACTTTTTTGGATATATAATATTATCCTCATTATTTGTAACCTCTCTCTAGTGGAAAATGTAAATTATGTAGATTCTGAGAATATTCGGAGAATATCACGATATTCTCGATATTCTCCGAATATTCTCAGAATCTACATAATTTACATGTTCCGTTAGAGAGAGGTTACAAATAATATACAGAATATATATGTTCCATTATGATAATTTGTACATTTCAGAATGTCTTTCTATTCATCCCAAAATTTTAATATACAGGATTTTTTATTAAAAAGTTTTATTTTAAATTTTATGCTATTTTTAGCTTATTAAAGATAGAATTGTCATTCCTATAGCTGACTTTAGCCAGTAACAAGTATTTGGGCCTTTTGTTTTATTTTTCTACTATGACTGTGTGTGGTCAGAGTCTGTTCGTTAAGAGATGGGCTACAATCGTACCTAATAAAAAGTATATGTTGATGGTTAAAGAATGAAGATGTTCTTGAAGTGACTTTAACGACTCCACTTTGAAAAATATTAACATCATCATATGTTACTTTCGATACCAAACGATTGATAGAAAACAAACATTTTATATTTCGTTTAGTTTTAGAAATAATATGCTGTAACACCTTTAACTTTACATTCTGTATAATTTGTGTTGAATATAAATTCTCCATTCCCCAGAAGTCACAGGTATGTAAATGTATGTAACATCTCATGCCATGTTTCGGGTCGTTCTTCTTCGTAAAGAAGCGAACTGAAATATTCATAAAACACTGGAAAAACATCCATGAAAGACGTGGCATTAATTCAGAAGCCAATTTATGTGTGTTTATATATAACAATTATATTAAATATTCTTCTATACTTCTCTGTTACATAACATTTATATTCTGTGTTTGTGTTGGATAATGTCACAATTCACTCGAGTCTGTAAGTTTCTTTTTTTAAACGATGTAAAAATTAGTACAACTTAGGAGACAATTTTTAAATGGTACCATTTACCATAAGTCATAATGCTTAAAAATAGTGCAATGTATATAATCGTATGACGTAAAATATCATAAAGAATATATATATGTACTGAAAAGAATACATAAATTTGTAAAAAAAAAAAGAAATGAAATACTATTTTTGCGCGAACTAGAATGCAGTAGCATCGATTAGAGTAGAAATAGAAACTAGATTAGCGCTCCATGCAGCAGGCATGGGCAACATAACAACGGCGCACTCAATTCTGGGACTCCCCCTTCCCCATTGTCCTCACGCCACAGCAGCCAGGACAGTTTGCACAAGAACAACTTCTCTGGTGTTGGGCTACCTATCGGACAGCTGTCAACGTCGCATTTACATATGCAATCGACTATGAGCCCTGCTACGGCAGCTGCTGTCGCAGCTGCACAAAAGAAGAAAGGCATTAAGAGCAGTCTCGGTAGATTTTTCAGCAAGAAAGAAAAAGTAAGACATTTTTCTTTCTTTTTCATTTTTTCTTTTTTTTTCTATTCTCTTTTTCTTTTCTTTTCTTTGTATTATAATTAAGGATAATATTCGTGAATGAATTCTTTTTTTTTTTTTTCAATATTAGATCAAAGGAAAAGATACAACGATGCCAGGCGATGTACCGGGAATGGGAGGAGCAAGTACACCAGCAGATCCTGATTATGGCGACAGTGTGTCTGTAGCAGGTACACTTGGAAGCAAAAGCGACTTCGATCGTAGGAAAAAGAAAAGGTATTCATACAATAAACATTCAAATATTCGGTATTTGTATAGGAAAGATTACGCACCTCAGATTTTTTTATTTATATAAGATTTTATGTCATAAAGAGTAAAATTCTGAATCATTTTGAGACATATCGCATGTGATTTTCGAGATATATCACTTTAAAATAACGTAATTTCAGGCTAGAATATATATACACAACAAATAACGCGGATTTTCGCTATATAATCACTGCAAACGCTATTTTTCCCTTATTAACTCTTCGGTATTCGATGAAATACTATCGCATTGCTCAATGAAAAGTTGTTATCTGTATGGCGTCTATCAGATGCCACTGACCTTACTCAGTATAAATATTATTTTCGGCTTAATCTTTCCAATTTTTAATGTGTTTTATTTCTATTATAACAAGTTAAGACTCATCAATTAAATAAAATAAAATGATAAAATAACAAATAAAATAATAAAATAATAAATAGTAATAAAATAACAATGGCATAATAATAAAATACTAAAATAATAATAAAATAATAATATAATGATAAAATATAATAGTAAAATTATATAAATTAATACATCGAAATAATAAAATAATATAAAAAAATAAATAATAATAACAAAAAATAATGAATTACGGGGATAAATTTACCATGTCATAAATGGTCTTATGAAGTCTGGAAGGCTTCGGGCGAGATGGACTTCGAGAAAACACTCTCCACAACTTTCCACATACGATTAATATTGATAATAGCCTATTTTGGGAAGGGCTAGAGGGAAAAGTAACAGGTGCCTCAACTTTGTAATCTAGATCGGCTGGTTTTAGCGATGAGTAAAAAATCATTTGACATTTGTGAGATACCGAAACGAGTACCGAAGGGTTAATGGCGGATGGATGTCCAATCAGAAATCATTACGCGATCTCCAAATTCTTACTTAACGAACTCTGATATTCTTGTCGACACCAATATGTATCTGTAGTGGGAGGAGTGACCGCAGGGAGAAATATACGATTGTGCGAGGAATAAAAATATTTCCCCTTGCCCCACTTATTTTACAAGGAGATGATCAATCTTGGACATCCTGGATTTGGCTGAATTTTAAATATGTGTAGTAATAGTCTTCCTCTAACAAACACTAATGTTACTCGTGCCAATGCGCAACAGCTTACGAGGAATCACAGTTTAAATTTTACCATCTATATATGTTACTTCAGATGTTTTTCTTTGTAAGAAAGCTTTTTATTTTTTTTAAGGCGAAAACACTGAAAAATCAATAATTCCAATTAAAAGTCTATTCGTTTTATAAAAATTATTCTGTCAGTTTGTACTTTCTGATAATAAATCAATATCACATTATGAAATCATTGTTATATATATTATTATTCCTTCTAAGAATTTATTTTGAACAAATAAATTCTTTATAAATTTGTAACAAAACACTGTGTTTATTAAGCAAATTAATTCTTTAAATCTATTTGGGGCCACATTCACCTCTGTTCCTCTTTAACCTGTTGTACAATATCGTCACATAAATAACGTCTTAAATAATAAATACTTCATTACATAATTCTCTTCTACTGTGTATTTATTTATAGAGAGATAAGATATATAATTTATTCATGGTCATAAGCACATCGGCCTTGTTTTAGTCCCAGTATGTTTGGTAGTATGCTGGATTCTTCCCGACACGAGCTGTTAGCAGAAGCGATGAAAGCCGGGACACCTTTCGCTCTGTGGAATGGACCAACGGTTGTCGCATGGTTGGAGCTTTGGGTAGGCATGCCAACGTGGTATGTCGCTGCTTGTCGAGCGAATGTCAAAAGCGGTGCTATTATGAGTGCTCTCAGCGATACTGAAATTCAGCGAGAAATTGGTATAAGGTATGATATTAAAATTTTTTGGTTGATCCGTTTCTTCTTATATATCAGGATGTCTCATTTCAATTAAACACTTTAAATATTTCTCGTAAATGGTAAAGAAAATTCTTTAACAAAATTATTTATTTAACAATAATTTAAGAGTACGAGCGTGGCATAGCAGACAGCGCATCAAAACATTGTCATCAACCGCTGATGGCCGCGAGACAAATTGTCGAAGTTTGTATCGCCAGGCCGAAACTTTTCAAACCAATACGTCTAGTTCGATCACTTACAGAACTTTCCATAAAAGCAGTGTTTGTGTTTCGCATTGTTTCTGCCGCACTATGATCCAGCTTGGATTCATACAAGAATATTATCCGCATTTTTTCACTTTCCATGTCGCAGGAACGGCGGTTTTCAACGATGTAAACAATGTGAAAAAAGTAAAGTTATGCGAAGTCATATGTGAGGCAAATGCTTTTCAAATATCACACATGCAACGACGGCTGCTTGAAAAAAGCTGAACTGCTCAGCCGGAAAATTTGAATTACGAAGAACGGCCGTTTCATCTGCAACAACTTAATATATACAGGGTGTCCCATTTTAACTTTCGTATCGAAATATTTCAAAAAACAGTTAAGTTTTATATATAAAAAAATGATTCAGATAAAAGTTGTAGAGTTTAAAAAGATCTATTTACTAACTTTACCAATTTGATCTTGGATGGAAGAGTCAAGTTCAATTGAAGGTTAAGTTAATTTTTGTTAACGGAATCATATAATTTTTTTAATACAAGTCGATTCTTCTGTTCATTTTGTGTACAAAAATATTAAGATGAGATCATCGAAAAGTGAATACTTTTCGAAATATTTCATTTTTTTGTTGTGATATTTTCAATACAAGATATGAAATATCTCATAAAGTATTATCAGAACTCTCTTATCTGGAACATTTTTTATAAAGCTTATATTTCTTTTAGATATTTCAATACGAAAATTACAGGACATTCTGTATATACAGGGTGATTTAGGACACAATTTCTTCTCCTTCAAAAGACATATTTCTGACTGGATTCTGAGACATCTTTTTCTCTTTCAGAACTTTGTCCGAAGTTTAGTTTATGAATTATACCAAAAAGTAATTCACGTATCGCGGATTCGGTTCTGAAAGTATACAAAAACAGTGCTACTCACCGTGGAACGCTCAGACGCGGGAGCTTATGTGGTGCTCGAAATGATTGCGCTACAGATGATGGTATGTGTACACATTTGTAAACACGTCCTTTCTCGCTCTGTCTCCCTGTATTTTAGTCATATATTCAATCACATACTTTAAATATGTTCGTTTTGTTTAACTTGAAAATATTTACAATAGGTGCCCCACGTAAGCGTTCATGTCTGACGGTGAATTGCGCTGGCCTTGCTTACTTTCTGCACTGAGTGGATAAGTAAAATATCTTTTTTTTTTTCGTATAATTCAAAAATTAAACTTCGAATACTCAAATACAATTTACTTGCATTATACAAGAAGACATATGTTTATGCAAAATTTATGTCTTTTTATAGAGATTAAGATTAATTTGGTATAGAAAATATATAGTTCAATTGAAAAGCAAGTTTGATTATGAAATTATTTTTAAATAACTCCTATCAATATTTAATATAGCGCAACCTTCTTACTTTTTTCAAATTACATAGATAACTTTCTTCACGAATTTTACTGTTTACGAGATATTTAGGTGGTTTTATTGAAAAGGGACATCCTGTATATATTTGTAATTTTACATATTGAAATTTTAATTATAACTATGTTATCGTATATTTGTAACAGTAATCCCCTGCATCGATTAAAGCTGAGACTAGCTATTCAAGAAATGGTGTCGCTCACCAGCCCGTCAGCGCCGAAAACATCTCGCACAACATTAGCATTTGGTGATATGAATCACGAATGGATAGGGAATGTTTGGTTACCCAGCCTTGGACTGCCGCAATATCGTTCCACCTTTATGGAGTGCCTTGTTGATGCTAGAATGCTCGATCATCTTACAAAAAAGGATCTTCGTGGACAGCTCAGAATGGTTGACAGCTTTCACAGGTACAGAGCGAGGAAGAATATTGATTAGCAATAATTATACGAAGTCAGTTGAGAGTGAGATGAGAGAAACGGAGAAGGGAGTGAGTATGGAAAGGAAACATCAAGTTTATATATTTTAATCAAGATTGGATAAGTTAATTTTTATTTTCAACCAAGTTAAAAGTTAATGTCCCATAAAAATAATTCAGTTAAGTTCAAGTTGGGTAGTAACTAGTTAATCAGTTAAAAAGTTAATAACTTCTAACTTTATTAATTTTGAAATGTGTCAATTTTTAATTTAAACTAGTTATTTTTGACTCTAACTTTTTTACACTTTGTTTTTATATATTGGGAATACAAATTAGTTCGGTCCGTTTTTTTTGTAGTCAAAAATGCATTTATTTCAGAACAAAATGAATGAACAGATTAATCAAAGTATTGTCCATCGCTGGCTACTACTTTTTCCCACCTCTCAGGCAATTTTCGAATTCCATCTCGAAAAAATATCTCGTCTTTTGAAGCGATCCAAGTTAGGAGTCAATTTTCGATTTCTGCGAAAGAAGTGAACCGGTGACCTGCCAAATCGTGCTGCATCCGTCGGAACAACCAGTAATCAGAAGGAGCAATGTCCGACCAATGCGGCGGGTGCGGTAAAATATCCCACTTGAGCGTTTCCAAATAATTTTTTATGACTTGCGACATAAGGCCGAGCGTTATCATGTAGAAGAATAACTTTGTCATGTCTTTGCTCGTATTCCAGCCGTTTTTCTCGTAATGCACGGCTCAAACGAATCAATTGTAGCCACCTCTTGCGTTTGACACGGATCTTCTTCGAGTAATGCCTCCAATTCTTTGTCATTGAATTTTTTGGCTGTCCAGAGCGAGGCTTGTCTTCAACGCTGAAATCACCATACTTGACACGTCGAAACTATTCCCTACATGATTTATCAGTTGGAGCATTGTCACCATAAACTTCTACAAGCATTCGATGCGCTTCAGCTGCACTTTTCTTCCAATTAAAGCAGAAAACTAAAACCTCCCGCAAATGCTGCTTAGTTAACACAAAATTTGACATATTCAACACAGTAAAAAACAGGGGTTTTATATGAAACTCAAAGCGATATAAACTGAATATTATTGACAGATGTCTAACCTCTCTGAAACCACCGAAATCAGCTGTCACTATGAAACATTCATAACAGCCAGAGCCATCTTTTGAAAACGGGCCGAACTAATTTGTACTCCCAATAAGTTAAAATCAATGATTATTTTCTGATAAAAAACAGAGAAACACAAAGAAACATATTCAGTGGAAAAAGCATATCAGTGAGCGTTTAGTGATTATTATTTGTGACTAGAGTATTCTTTTAGACTCTTGTTAGATCCAGAAGTACATATTAATCAGCAGTGATAATCATGAAACGTTCACTGAGTTGTTGTTTGCGCTGAATGCAGCCAAAGTCGTTTCGTTGGTTACATACGTATGATCTGAAAATAAACTTATGATGATATTTAACCAATGAAACAATTTCATATCTCTCTGTGTTTCCTAACAAAAAAGTAATATATATTAAAGTGTTGCTGAAAATAGTCGGTTGCAGATTATTTAAGAATTAGATTGCAGAATCCTTTATTTTCGAGCTGAAAAATGAAAGAATTATACACATATTACATATTATGTCATACACACACACACACACGCAATATTAAGGCAATATTCATAGTCGGATTTTATATTTAAGACCGTTTTAAGTTCACTTTCAGATGTTTCGTAGCCAATAAAATGAGTGGTACAGGATCTGAAGATGAACTTAAGACGGTCTTAAATATATATATGTGCATTGCTTAAACAAGTCCAAACTCTCTCTCTAGAAAGATGAAAAGAATATAATTGCACTCCGGGAAAATTCCTTTTTATCGAAATGCAGAAAAGTAAAATGTTTAGTTTTTTATTATGTTGGTGCAAATGAAATGGCCGTTTTTCTAAACTTCTCGTTTTTGTAGTTCATCTTTCTTTTATGCAAGTAGCGTTGTACATACACCATATGAAAGGTATACAAGGTGGGCCATTTTAATCGACCCAGTCGAATATTTCGAAAACCAAGCCCGGGAGAGAAAAATTTCTCAGACAAAAGTTGTTTGGTTTCGAGGNGCGCGTGAATTTGCATACATTACTACGGGTATTAATTGTTGAAATTCGCGTTTAAGCCAATATGGAAAATAAAGAAATTCGTTTAATTTACTTGTACGAGTTCAAGTTCGGTCATAGTGTGGCCTAGGCAGTGCGAAACATTAATACTGCTTTCGGCAAAGGCTGCTTTCTGCCAGTGAAAGGACGACGATTGATTCGAAAACGTTGTTTTGGTCCGGAGACACAAATCTCAACAATTTATCTCGCGACCATGCATTCTCCGTCATTGACAACGCCGTTTTAAAGGACATGATTGAAGCGGAAGACTGACAGTTCGAGAGATTGCAAGAAGATTCAACATTTCATCATTCATCATTCTGTCGTCCGACATTAAATAGCTTGGGGAAAAGTGAAAAAGTTGAACATATGGGTTTCCCATGAATCGACAGAGAGGGACAAGATGAAATGTTTAGAGGTCTGCACTTCTTTGTACTCCCAACAGAATAATGATGGAATATTGCACAGAATAGTGACATGCGATGAAAAATGAATGTTTTATGACAACCATCGACGTTCTACGTTCATCATTCTGGTTAGATGCGAATGAGCCTCCGAAATACAAGCCAAAATCGAACCTTCATCCGAAAAAGATTATGGTGTCTGTATGGTGATCAAGTAGGGACCATTATTCGTTTACCAAGGTGAGACTATAAACGCTGATAAATACTGCCAGGAAATTGGCATTATGTATCAAAAACTGCGCCTTCAACAGCTGGCATTGGTTAATAAACACGGTATAACGTTGTTGCTTCATGATAATGCCAGACCACACATTGCAAAAAAAATACTATAAAAGAACTAGTCGAGCTGGAATTCAAAGTTCTCTCTCACCCTCCCTATTTTCCAGACGTTTCACTAACAGATTACCATATATTTAAACATTTGGATGGGTTTTTAGCTGGGAAAGTTTTTCAAGAAGAAAGACGTATAAAAGATGCATTTTACGAATTCATCGAATTTCCTTCTCCAGATTTTCTCAAGAACGGCATTAATGCATTTGTATCACGTTGGCAAAAGGCGCATTGAAGTAGATGGAGTCAGTTTTAATTAATAAAGCAAATTTTAAGTTTGTTAAATAAAAGTCTAAAGTTTAAATTTAAAAACGGCCATTTCATCTGCACCAATCTAAATCAATCAATCAAAGTCACTGACTCAAATCAAATATTCTACGTATTCTTGTGTGTGTACTGTTTTCCAGGTATCATGCATACCTAAATAGGTCTCACATTCTAAGGACTGAATTTACTTTTCTCGTAACATTGTGTGTGTGTGTGTGTGTGCGTGCGTGCATGCGTGTCTCATAATATTACATATCAATATTTTATTGCAGAACAAGTTTGCAATACGGCATTTCCTGTTTAAAGCGACTAAATTACGATAGGCAGCAATTAGAAGAAAGGAGGCGAGTGGCAGAAGGTGCTAACATAGACGTGCTTGTATGGAGTAATGATCGTGTTATAAGATGGGTCCAGTCGATCGGTTTAAAGGTTAGTTAAACGCATTGCCTCGATCAAACTTTCCTATGATTGAGCATTCGTGAAAGAAATTTATATTTGCATTTATTTCCAAAGGAATACGGAAATAATCTCTTGGAATCTGGTGTACATGGCGCACTTATAGCTCTTGATGAAAGTTTCGATGCAAATAGTTTTGCTTTAGCACTGCAAATTCCCACGCAAAATACGCAGGTAAATATAGCACATATTCAGTCGAATTTTTATATTGTATATAAATGTTTTATTAAAATTTTAAACACTTACATAAACTAAAGCAAATTTCTCGTTACTTTTTCTAGGCAAGGCAATTATTAGAGATGGAATTTTCAAATCTGCTAACAGTAGCGACGGAGAGGCGGCTAGACGAAAATAGTAGCATGAAATCCTGATCCAGCTCATCAAGCAGGCTGCCTCATATTCAACCACATCATGTCTAGTCCAAAACCCCAACTATCGCTACTATTTATGCGCAAGTGTGTTGTAAAAGTTATAAGAGCTTTAAGTATCACGCTAGGAGTACCCTCATCATATTGTTATGACAAATGTGACATATACACTGATGTGTATTTCGATATAAAGCTGTTGAGATAAGCTTACACGATACATACAAGAATAGAGAATAGATAATCCATTCAATTTTTATGTCGCATATATACATAAACAATTGATGCGGCGTATACTTGGACGAAAAGAAATCAAGAAAAATAATTATTTCGGATAGTTTTCATATAGATATTGAAATGTAGTAGGCAGTCGTTGGATTATACAAATAGAAAAAAGGGGGACGCGGTAATGTATAATATAGCACTCTTCTTAAAATCCCGGGATATCAGTTGCAGACGATTAACGACAATAATTCTCCCTGAGTTAGCTTAATTTGTTTGTAAAGATGTCAACATAATCTGTAGTCTCAGTATTACGATGTCGCGCAGTAGATTATATTTGTTATATGATATTACATGCTCGCGTACGATATAAACGTGTACTTATATATATCGTTCAATAAATACTTAAGGCAACGTAAGCTAAATAATACTCTTTACCGCACAAAGACCGTAGTAAAAGAGAAAATGGCAATGGGTCTATCAGAGATAATATCGTGTTGCTTTCGAGAAAGTCGTATGGAAAGTGTGTTCTAACTACTGACGGTACGGCTAGAAAAATGATATGATTCTACGTGAAAAAGTGTAGAGTAATTGTATAATAATCTATATTATTATACAATTACTTTACACTTTTTCACGTAGAATCATATCACTTTTATATTATATATATATA